ATCCGAGGGAGCCTCACCTCGAAGTCGATCCTCTGCAGGTTGGCGACGAGCGCGACGAGCAGGTTGGTGTTGTACAGCTCCTGCGCCAGCTGCGCCACGGCTTCGGTCTGCGGCTCCTTGTCGCTGGTGCCGCACAGGACCTCCTTCAGCTGCGACAGGCTCTTGGACACCTCCTCCACCACCTGCCGACACCACAGTCAGCACGGGGGGCGCGTGGCGGCGGCTGTCCGGGCGCCCACCGCGCCCCACCCGCCAGGCCCTCCGGCACCCCAAATCCTGGCATTTCTGTTCACGCTTGAGAACAAAAATCTCCCTTTTATGCTCTTGTGTTTTCGCGAAAGGGGAATGAACTCGGCTCGTATTACCTTGCCTGTTCCACTCGTTTCAATATCATACTTTTTTTTGGAAAAAACACACGGTTATATCCACCTTTGTGCAGTAACAAGCATTAGACTACGCTAAGAACCAGCACCTGGAAAGGAGATTTACTTGTCGGCACAAATAATTTGCATTTACGCCTGCCGTGCCCAGGTAAACACCAGGAAATGCCTGCTGTCTAACAGAACACAGGAATATAAATTTCACAGGCTTGTACTCCAGTGTAGAATGCAGTTGAAGAACAGTCAGTGCGTGATCTGGCAGGAATGGGATAAGGAATATGAAGGACTGACTGAAGAATACATATTCACACACCTGAAGTAGGAACTCTACTCGTTCCAGATGTGCAAAAATAAAAATAATCCTCACCCCTGCTGGAGCTCATCTGAGAGACTCACCTTCTCACATTTTTTGCCTTCGGAGGTGTCCAGTTTTTCCAAGTAAGCCATGTTCTCTTTTAAGCTCCTAACGATCTCGGCGGGGCTCTTCTGCGATTTTCCAAACGGGAAAGGCATTGCACTGAGGAGACGTTCCCTGTCCAAGCGCGAAGCAGGAGGCACTGTGTCACACTCACCAGCGCCTGAGAGATCCAGAGGGAAAGACAAGAGACTTGAAGGCCCGTGCATGGTGAACGCACGCATGAGCTCCATA